GCTACTAATATAATTACTATTTTTTATATAAATACTTAGCTTACTTTTAATAGTAAATTACTACTACTTAGTATTTTTTTATAACTTTTAGCTTTTTTAAAGTTTACTATTATAATAAAAAAAGTAGTAAAATTATAAGCTACTTATTACTAACTTATTATTATTTTTAAAAGTAGTACTTTTTTTAAAGCTTAGCTATACGCTAAATAGTTATATAATACTTAAAAGTATAGTTTTATTTTTAATAAATATTAAAGTATATAAATATATATACTAAAAATACTAATATAAATATAAATATAGCTAATATTTATAAGTATAAACTAAGTAGCTAAAAACTTTTTAATTACTAAAAAAGTAGTAGTATTAAATTTTATTTAGTAACTTTAACTACTTAGTATTTAGCTTACTTAAGTAAAGTAAAATATTTTAAATAGTTAGTTTATAAATATAAACTAAAAAGTATAAATATTAGCTATTTTAGTAAGTTATAAAATTATTATAAAGAATAAAAATAAAAATATATAAAAAAAGTATTATAGTAATAGCTAAGTAGCTATTATAAGTAATAGATTATTTAGTTAATTATTTAGATTATCTAGGTTGTCTAGTGCTAGTACATTAAATGTAAAGTCGGCACTAACAACACAACACAACACAACACAACACAACAGTTATGCTTGATATGATATCGACTATCTTATGCGCTGCATGCGACTGGTAATGTTGCTGTTGTGGAAAGTGTTGCGACATTTTGGCAGCGATGAGAAAGGCATCTGACATTTCAACGGTGCTGAGGCACAGCCCACAGCGTCGCCAGGCAGCACACGTTACCCTACCACAACGTCCATCTTGCTCGCAACACCTGTCAAGTCATGTCATTCGGACAACTAACCTCATGCTACAGTTTCCGTTCAACTTAGTCACACGTGGCCGGTTGGTCAACGGACTCTAGAAGTTCTGACCTCGCAGTTCCCGCCCGTCGCGAGACGCGCAATGCCGACCCTCGGTCCCCGAGCTATCCACACGTTCGCAGAAGCGCGCAGACAGCGTGGCTGAAACCGATTACCTGCATCTACTCGTAGTGTACCACGCGAGAACAGCCCGCTCTTCGCTATCTTATCGTCCATGTTTCGCGCGGCGCGTCCCCGCCACTGGCACCGCCGTCACTAGCAGAAACAAAAGAGAAGGGAAATGTGAAACATGCATGCTCACATACATGCCAATCGTTCAGCTCATATACGGCCCCACTCGGAGTTCTACACTTCTTCGTATCCAGTGTCGCGAAAGCCTAGGTATGCAGGTTGGACATCTCCCGGGCGCCGCGTAGCGTTGGAGGCCGCTGACAAGTCGAGTTTGTTGCTGGTATATGCGACGGACAATGGGGCTAGGGAGGAAGTTGAGGTTGTAGCGCTGTTCGGGGTCTGAACGAATGAGTTCAGTGGTACACTTGCACGGGTAACGGTACGCTTGACCAAGTTAGGAAGGAGTAGAGGCATGGACGGAGGTAGCTAGGTGTTAAAGGTATGATCGTTCGCTGTCAACCACGTAGGTCCCACATGGTATAGGGATAAGGGAGGAGGGTGTAAGATGGCGGTGAGGTAAGATCCGGCTGTTCTGTATCGTTTGCTGGGTTCAGGTATGTCGGTGTACGTACAGGTAAGGCATGGATAGGCAAGAGTTTGCATTCCGTTCCTCTCTCCTGCTTTAAGGAGAGGGAAGATAGGTGATGTGATCAACGTGTACTGATAACGTACTATGTTTACTTGGAGATATACAAAGTACCTACCTGTCGACATATCCCCGCGGCTGCCTTTCACCATCCCTCCTCCATCTCGGTACCCGGCAAACCAAAACGCACATCTCCTTCACCGCGCTACTCCATACGTTCAACCGCGTACATCAACTCTCGTGGGAATACGTTGTTCACATCATTCATATCGAGCAAGTCTATTGACAGAAAGGTAGATCCTCTACCATCTCAACAGCCTCAACGTCCCTCACAACCACGCTCAACACGTTAATCAAGCATGTGACAGGAAGCTAACGCACATCTAGACGCTTAAACCCACAGAGTTTGCATATGCATCGGCATGAGCCGCTGCAAACTGTTACCCGGTTGTGCGGTAGCTACTGTATGACTTTTGCTTTTCCCGCGTATATGCTTTTTTCTTCCCACGAAAGCCGAGATACTGGTTCAACGGGTGTGTCAGATGTGATTTGCGTGTTTCATAGTTTGTCTCTTCATACGTATACGAAGAAGAAGACATACTCGAGATGGAGAGGCGATGGGGATGTGGTGGTGTGGTGGTGGGATCCTGGTCTGATGTGAAACTGCACATCAGCGCTACTAACAAAATGCTTCGCCAGCTACTTCGGCATATGTTATATGCATAGCGGTAGGCGTGTGGCGAGTGAACACAAGCAGACATGAACGCATCTCAAAGGTATGTGCCAGGGAAGTGACAATTTATTGATAGTAGTTCATAAAACGAGTGTAGTGCCAAAAGATTGTACCCGAGAAGTAGAAGCTTTTGGCGAGTAGTCGATGAACATCGACCCTGTCACCATCTCAATAGCAACATCTTCCACATACTGCCGTAAGTACAGTCAATCCTCTAACCCTGGGCCTCAGTGAGGATCAGCTTTAGGTCCTACACGCATCCATTAGCACAGCGCTCACTTCTCACGACCCAGAACTTACACAGCCTCCGTCAGCAGGAGCGCACTGCGTCCCACCAATACTAGCCAACTGGCAGTTGGAAACCTCGAAACGATTGTAAATCTTGTCGCTCTTGCGGAATAGATCGATCGCAACGGAACCAGCCCCATTCTGTTCGTAGACCCAAGTTGCCTGGTAGTCGTCATCCAAGTCTTGAGTACCCCCGTTCTTCATATCGAAGTTTTGCTTGCATGTGCCAGCAAAATCCACTGTTCCGAATGCGCCCAGAGAATCTTGGTCGCCGACGATGAAGTTGCAGACAGGGATGCAGCAGCCTCCGGGGCAGCCACCGAAGGTACCACCGTCGTCAAGGCTCACTTGAGCTTTGGTCTGAGGTCGATGTTAGTTTTGATTTGGCGCACTGGGAGAATATGAGGGAAAGGGGAGGTGTACCGTGGCGAGGAGGGCGATGAACGCCAGGCTGATAGATTGGATGGAATGCATGTTGATGGTCCTCCTGAGTCGGATGATTGTCGTTGATATTGTTGAGGATGTGAGTGGAGTTTGTTGCGAGGTTTGAAGATCATACTTATACCTTTTCTACCAAGTACCCATCGTCGATTGCTCACACTGGTACTGCGGTGACAGAGACCGACGAGCCACTCATGATCCCCGCAACCATCCCATACGTAAAGGTATTCCTAGGATTAGAGATATCGCAACCATCAGATATGTCGATCATTCATAAGTCTGTTTCTGAGCACGTCCCTGAGAGGCAGAACATGTTGTCCTTACTCTACTGTAACTGGTAGACGGTGAGTATGTATCGTAGTTTAGGCTATATAAAAGGGCGGTTGCTTATAGAAGCCTTGGTCTAGACAAGAGACCAATTGCCTATAGTAGTCTTGAACTTGACAAGTTGATGATGGCTTACGTTGATCTCAGACAGAACAGGAGCGTGATTGCTTATAGTAGTCCTAAACCGGACAACAAGGCGATTGATTATGGTAATCTTTGGCTAGACAGCAGGGCGATTGCTCATCGAGTCTTTGCACGTCGGTTAATATCGAATTCGTGTGTACTGGCAGACACAATACCTCCTCCCCCAATAGAAAGACACCTGGGCAAGCTTAGATGGTCATAGCCAAAACTGTTCATGACAAAGCCTAGTATACTTCACCACGTTCTGCACAGCGGATTGAATATGTCTCATAGCCATGTCATCCTCAGTGTCCTTCATGTCCTAGCTCTCCACTGCTGGGGGTCGCACTGATATCCTCCTCGCTCTGTTGTCTACTCACCTCCACCGCCTGGGACTGAGATGAGATATTCCCCGCTCTATCGACATCTCTTGTCCGTCAATCTATAATGTACCGACAGCCTCCTCGCTGAGGTTGGTGTGCGCCGTTTGCGTCATTGTCTGATGTGCGCGCTCACTCTCCGCACCACCGCGTTTGCTCTCACTTCGACCCATATCTCCCCACAACCAAAACGCCCATGACTTCTGATATGTGTATATATATTAATTAATTGAGCAGTATTCCATCGCAACACGACTCCGAATGGCCTAATAATCCCTGGATGCGTCTCCTGGGTTGACCTTGAGAATACCGTTGATAACAGCCATTTCGGTGAGTGAGTTCGATCCTCATAGTCTACCGCAGTGTTGTGATTATTTATTTTTGCTCTGTTTTGCTCACTTTGATGTCTTTCACTCGCCTTCACTCAGACTTAAGGATGGCGTCATTTTTGCTCTTGCTTAATTCAGTACTAGCGGGTGAGTATACGTTGATTGCAGTCGCAGTAAGTGTAGATATTTGGCGGGAATATGAAGTGAATGTAAGAGTAAAGGAGAATTCACTACCCTCCTTCACTGCAGGACTTTTACGCACTGGAGCCTAGGCCATATAAATCTTCTTCTGGTCGTAACTCTGCTTCCTTTAACCACCCACATACAATCAAGCTATCATCACTTTAAAGCTTTTTTGTATACATCATGCCTACATTCTCCGAGCTCACCCGCACCGAGAAGCGCGACATGATTCGCGGCGAGCCCTTCGACGGTCCGCAAGTCACCATGGAACCCAGGAGCGTACGTGACCTCCTCGATACGCTCGAAAGCATCCCCAACAACAAGTTGGGCACTACACACCCCGCCGCCGCCTCCCTCGCCCTCCTCGAAGAGAACTGGGGCGTCGACATGACCTCCTTCCCCCCTCCCCCTCCCATGTACGGTGGACGTACATTCCGTCCAGACGGCGACGCGTCGACTTGGGACTTGCGCCTGTTGGCCACTCTGGCAGTCTTGTCGGAGTTTACGCACGGCCAGGGCGACTACATGGGCAGTCAGATCAATTCGGCGGTAGAATTGAGGAACATCAACAAGAGGTTCAAGAAGGACCTTGACTTGGTGACTACGGTCGATGTGGTGAGGGTGATTCGCGATCTGCTGCATCCTCTTGAGGTAAGTCTTTTTTTCTTTTGAAGATATTTCGATTGCAAACTACAAATGCTAACGATATATAGATGAACGAAGAAGATGTCTTGGCGACGAGGAAGCGCAAGACCGAGTACAACGGCCGCCGCCAGTCCGAGCGGAAGAACATGAAGGCCACCGAGCAGGCCATCGACACCGACATGCCGGTTGGGGGTGAGGCGATGGAGAGGGTTGAGAAGAAGTTGAGGAAGACACGGCTTCCTGACAAGGTCGAGTCTGACTCTGAGGAGGAGATGTTGGCTCCTGGAGAGCGCATGGAGTAGATAGTTGCGGCGGGGTGAGTCGTTGTCGTCGTCTCGCATCCTGATGATGCTGGACTTCGCGCTGTGAAAGGGCAGCCTGGCAGATACCAATACAGTACAGTACTACCATATCGATAGTCGCCGCCATGCTGTGATTGATTGACGAGGCAAAGTTTCTCAACGTCGATGAATCTCAAGTCTGTGGTATCCGGCATCTTAGTCCCTGGGCTCTTGATTGTATGATATACGCCACCGTGGTCCTTTTCGCAACTACTGATCCATGTCTTAATGCCCCCGATGTTGATTTCTTGGTGGAACAGGGAAAATCCGGACGCATTTGGAATTGGTTGAATTTCCACGAGTAACCAACCGGAAAGTATCTCCTCACCCTCGATTCTCTCGCCCATAATTCGTAACGTCCAATCACCATCGGATTTGCGGTAGTAGACAAAGCCGACCCATTCTCCTACATAGTTGGCTTATGTATGAATTCCGAACCTAAGCGCTATTTTTTGGCATGTAACACATCCAGCGTTCTCCTGGACATCGCGATTTTCCTACACGTACTCTCTGGGATGGGGTGTCTTCTTCTCTATCGCGTCTGCGACTGATTTGCAAAGTGCACACTGCACCATATCTCGATGGCGTGACAAATTTGTGCGATCTGGAGGGCGACCACGCGTATGAGACTCTTCGTGCAGATAATAAGGCCACCAGCCACTGTAGACCAATGCGGGGCTAGGACCCCTTGGACATACGGACGATGCTGAGTTGGAAGAGTATCAGCCTTTAGATGACCATTAGAGGAATAACTCGAGTAAAGATCAGATGAAAGCTTGAGGTTTCGATGAGTAGAACGTAGGTGAGTGCGGAGTATATGACAAGGCAGCTGCCACCTCATGCGCAGCATGATGACATCATGCTTGCTTATCTGCATTGCTCAAGCCTTGTGAGTATATTGATCAACAAAACAGAAGGTGTACTTCATGTGAGTAACTTGTTAAAAAGAACGTATGGGAAACATCAGAATAGGAGAACGGCATAGGCGGTCAATGGGCGAGCATTGACTAGATGGTGGTTGACAAACTTCGCGCTAAAGGACATCGCGATCGCCGGACCCGTGGACGCATCTGCACCCCAGATTCAGAGCCCACTTCTTTCTTCGGGAATAATGGGACATCAGTTCAATCCGATTTCACCTTCAGCAATGGTACATATCCAGAATTTTATCCATTCGACCACGAGTTAACCACACTATTCCACAATCCCATGAAGATCCCCATGCCCCAGCCCCTCCCACGGAAATAACGCCTCCAGCCTTGACAGACGTCATGCCTAGCGCACAACAGTCACGTCCCAAGCTTATGGCGCGGGCACCCTCCCCCTAATCCGGGAGATCTGACTAGTGGAATGAGGGGAAGTACGAGATCGGCTTCCAATGGCGTTGGCATCAAGATGGGGAATTGTGCTGTGACGTCTTCTAGCATACGGGGTATACAGAGCCGAGGGCATGCGACGAGACATGCTTAAGCAGTCGTTGTCCGCCTAGTAGACTATTTGTTGTGCATCTGCTAGTACCCTCCTCGCTCTGGCACTGGTCTTGAGGCTCAACAGGCTTTGGATTAGACTGTCCCTCATTCTTCGTTTAGTGTTGCTTTGACGTGCGTTTAGCATGACATCTCAAGGACCTATGGCCCCAGGGCGGTCAATCACACAGGATTGGGCAGACGACCGCTCCGATGATCGCCTGCACAGCGTTACTTCTGGTACGAGTGCTACACCTCTGACCCAAGCGCAAACACAGTATTCGGCGCATTCTACCAACTCTGAACTCTCGGCCCATCGAACGTCGTCGAGCGCTCAACGGAAGCGATCGGTACTTGGCTTGCATCCTCAAGCACCCATCGACGAAGAGCATGACCACGGTGCGGCGTCGGAGTTGCTTTGGTCGCGCATACGGACGGTAATGAGGGAGCCGTTCGCGGAGTTCTGGGGAACTGCTATAATGGTTATGTTCGGTGATGGAGCGGTTGCGCAGGTGTTGCTTTCGACTGGACAGACGACGGCTCCAGGTGGTAATGGGTTCGGGCAGTATCAGTCCATCAACTGGGGGTGAGTCGAACATCGAAGTATTGGAAGATCGCAAGGTATGCTAACACCAAGAAGCTGGGGCCTGGGCGTCATGCTTGGGCTGTACGTCGCAGGCGACTCTGGCGCATACCTGAACCCGGCGATTACACTCAGCAACTGCATCTTTCGTCAGCTGCCCTGGCGGCGGTTCCCTATGTACTTCGCCGCACAGATGCTCGGTGGGTTCGTTGGGTCTGGGATCGTATACGCGAACTACATCAGCTCCATCGACTGGTTTGAGGGCGGGAAGATGCGAACAGTGCCTCCGGCTGAGAAGGCTACTGCGAACATCTTCTGTACTTACCCACAGCCATTCCTTACCAAGACTAGCCAGTTCTTCTCGGAGTTCATCGCAAGTACACTGTTGATGTTCGTCATCTTCGCGTTGAAGGATCCGAGCAATAATGGCGTTCCGAAGGTACGACTGACAGCAGTGATAAATGAGACAATGCTGACCGTTCTATAGTCCGACAAATGGTTTCCTCTCTGCCTATTCTTCCTGATCTTCGGCTTGGGGTCTTGCTTCGGCTGGCAGACTGGTTATGCGATCAACATCGCTCGTGACTTCAGCCCAAGACTGATGTCTTATGCGGTCGGGTATGGTCATGAGGTGTGGTCCGCTGGCGGCTACTACTTCTGGGTTTGTCTTCTGATGGCGTTCATAGCTCTTTCTGACCATGTCTAGATACCGATGGTGGCACCATTCCTTGGCTGCGCGTTTGGAGGCTTCCTCTATGACATCTTCATCTACACGGGACCCAGTCCTATCAACTCGCCATGGCTCGGCTTGAAGCAGCTCACTCCGGGTAACGCGATGCGAGCGAGACGAGAACACATAAGGAGAGAGAAAGAAGAGGGGATTGTGTAACAGTCCATTCTTTGCATCCGATCATGAGGCCTGGCAAGGTAGATATTCCATGAACAGAAACGCAGGCTCTGAAACAGCCAAGTTCCCTTTATCGAGGTATTCTTTGTTCGTGCTGTATCTAGAAAGGTGATTGTAAGCCGAAACGAATGACATCTCATCTGTTCAACAAGAGCGAAGACGTTTGCGAGTACGCGTGGAAAGAGCCTTCAGTGGTGCTTAGTCATTCACGCGTGTCGGTGTTGTCTGACGCCATTGTGCCCCGCTGATGCCCGCAAGCCGCTGTCAGGCGCCGCATACCAAACTTTGACTCACTCGCAACTACACACGACACATCGAAATACTCGCGCACCACGTCCATCCACTTCGGAAACAAATACGATCTCGCATACCTCACAACACAATGGCGAAAAAGGGCGCGGCCGGCGGCGATGGAGGGGGCTCGAAGAAGGCACAAGGACAAGCCCGCAAAGCAGACGCCGCTGCATCGAAGCAGGCTGCAAAGAACCAACAAGCTGAAAAGGCAGAGGCAGAGGAATGGAACAAGGGCGCAAAGTCAAATGCAAAGGCGTACGTGCATCTTCGCCCCTACTTACGCAGTAGCTAATATATCATAGCGAGGCCGCAGCAGAGAAGGCCGCTGAGGCAGCCCGTAAGAAGGCTGAGAAGGAAGCCCTGCTCCGTGAAGAGGAGGCTTCCCTGCCCTCCAAGCCCAAGGGCAAGAACCCCAAAGCCGAGAAGAAGCCCCGCGGGGGCGGCATCGACTCAGCGCTCGGCTCCTTCGACGCGAAGCCTGGCGCGCTCAACGCCACCGGTATCGACAACGCCCTCGACGCTCTGGACATCACGGGCAACAGCCAGGACAAGGTGGACCGCCATCCCGAGAGGCGCTTCAAGGCTGCATACGCTGCGTTTGAGGAGCGAAGACTGGACGAGATGAAGGACGAGAAGGGTCTGCGACGACAGCAGAAGATCGACCAAATCCGCAAGGAGTTCGAGAAGCACCCCGAAAACCCGTTCAACCAAGTCAACGCATCGTACAACATGACAAGAGAGGAGATCGCCGCACTGCGCGAATCAGAGAAGGAGAAGAAGGAGAAGAGGCTTGTGGGGGTCAACTGAGTGGCTGTGTTACTTTCGCGTACTATTCATATATGGGGGCGTTCTGGGTAGACCTGGGACGAGACGCCTCAGCGCATGATCGCAGACGGGCCGAGGCATGAGTTGGGGGATTTTGATTAAACTCCGCCTCATGAACGAGCCATGGGTCCGTAAGCTGACTTTCACTATTCAACATTCTTTCCTGTTGCTTATGGTTGTGATGATCCCCGCGCTCTTAGCACTACGACGGCCCCTCTCGCCCCTCATTCGTGCGGGTAGTGTACCTCTAGCTGATCATCCGTAGCGTAAGAGATGGTCGTGCAGTCGGTCCTGGTGTTGGTCGTGAGAGCACTGCGACGCGACGATCTTTTCTTAGCAGCCAAACAATAGCAAAGGAACAACGCGTCGGCACGGCCAGTGAACACAAGGGATTTGAGGAGGCCAAATAATGAAGGACAAGCCGCCCGGACGACCGTACAGTGGCGCCAAAATAGAGGCCCAAAAGCAGCGCAGCCGCCGACCTGAAACATGCGTGCTAGTTAGCCATTGGCCGACACCAAATCTGTTCCTGCGTTTCGAAACGCCCGCTTACCCAATCCCTGCTGCACCCGCGCGCTCCTTCCCCGACTGCCCTCACCGAAGAAATATGGGTCCACGCGAGTTCGATCTTAGATAAGCCCTACTCCCGGCATTCACCATGCGTGCTTTGCTCTCCTTCACATTCTGCAGCCTCGGCGCTATACAGTCGTTCTTTTCTTCCCTTTCTCTCTTCCTGACTTTTAGTCGTTACCTTCTTTTGATCTCTACCCATTCGTTTCTCAACCAATATGAAGTACTTTACCACTACTGGAGCAGTGCTCCTCAGTGCCCTTACAGCGACCGCCGGCGGTATCAAGTTCGACCCCGAGGATGAAGGTGAGAATAT